AAGTAAATAGAAACCAGTAACTTTTCCTGAGTTCCCTGAACTTTCTCTTTGATGACGAAATTTATGCTCGTGACCTACGTAAGGTATTCGTAACGACGTAAACTATAATCATTATAATCTAAAGTTTTTTGTTTCTAAGTTAAAAATCTTTTTTCTCGAATGATTGAAGTTTTTATTTTAATATTATTTTAAAATAAAAATTATATGTTTTATTTTGATAATAATATAATAATATAAAATAAATTATGTTTTTAACTATGAACAGTTTTTCTTTCATCTGCACTTAATTTGTTTTATTTTTCTCAAAGTATTATTATTAATTCTCTCGTAAGTTTTGCAAATAAATGAATGAATGGTTTATAGATAAATTAAAAATTACTTTTTTTTTGTAACAGGAATATTAATATATATATATATATATATATATATATATATATATATATATATATATATATATATATATATATATATATATATATATATATATATATATATATATATATATATATATATATATATATATATATATATATATATATAGATTTATTAAAAAATTGAATTATTATTCATTCAGTTTAATCAGTTTAAGTTGCAAACAAAAGTTAATAACACTGTTATTAACTAATTAATATAAGCGGTTTTTGAAATAATTTTAATGAGCAAGTAATATAAAATGTGCGAAAGTTTTTCTTCATTAATTTCAGAGAATTTTTTCATGATTATTTCAAATTATTATATATATTAAAGAGCATAATCTCAACTGTACTTTTTTTCATATAATCTTTCCTATTATTTTTTGCTCGTCTTTTCCCACCGTTTGCGAATTTATTGCAATAAAATGAACTATTTTTAAATAAATTAAAAATTATAAATATCCTGTTTGCGCTTTCAAATAAAGCATTGATTTTATTTAAAACTGTAATTATTAAAACAATTTTTTATTATAAAACAGTATATATATATATATATATATATATATATATATATATATATATATATATATATATATATATATATATATATATATATATATATATATATCAATAATAAAAGTAATTTCTCGGTAGACAGTGCTCAATACAAAAGTAGAGCAAATATGTATTAAATTAATAATAAAATAAATACAATTAGATTTGAAACATAACTCAGAGTTTCACGCTTTATGCGATCATCAGACGTTACAAACAACCGTAACAACAACAAAAATTATATACAAAAATACAATACAGTGTTAGCTTAGATGACGTTAAAGTTGCAAATAACAAATTTGTTTTCGTGGTGACATTTTGATATTAGTTCATTTTGTTTATTCAGTAGTTTCAAAGATGACGTAATGATATGGTATTTTTCGGTCAAGCAAAGGTTACATAACTTTCCTCCAGGTTTAAATGGTTCCGCCCTATCAATAACTTTCCACGTAAGAATAGGATTTGAAAATCCCTTTTTTCTCATTTCCCAGATATATTTCGAAAGTTCTGTGGTGTTAGCTTTACTTTCGTATTGAAAGGAATTTTTATGTTTTTACCAGCGATCTTTAAAGGTGTGTTCCGTTAGACCAATATAATTAAGACCACTATCCTGCGGTGATGTTTTTACATTGCAGACGTAAATTATATTTTACTGAGACACATACCTTGCAAAGGACATTGAGAAGGTTGCCGGCAGTTACATGTTGGAACGATTGTGTTGGAAACATTAGATAATATTTTTTTTTTATTGTGTGAATTAATAATATTGGTGATGTTAGGAAGACAGCTATAACTAACTTTTAAATTATTCTTATTAAAAATTTTTCGAAACTTATGTGTTTTTGGAAAATGCTTTTCAATTAGATTTAGAAAATTTTTTGCGATGTTGGTTTTTACATTTTGTGAAAACGGAGGATTAAACCAAATAATGTTTCGTGATCTTGATTTTGGTTTTGATGAGGTAAGGTTTTTTTGAAAACTAATCTTTTCATTATACCCACTTGCTGATAACGCATTGTTATAAAATGGTGATGCTATATCAAAAACTTCCATGCTAGATGAAATATTGCTAATACGGTTAGATATCATAGATAGTATGGATTTAATAATACTAGGTGGGTGGTTAGAACTTGCGTTGATGTATAATGGGTGGTCACCTGGTTTTCTGTATGGCTGGAAAGTATTTTCTGTCAGGTTGAAGGTAACATCGAGAAAGTTTACAATTTTTAAGTTGGTTTTTATTGTAAGTTTTAGATTAAATTTCTCTTTAATAAGATGAACGATGTTTTTCTTGATTCTCTCAGATTGCGGCCCATTAATCCCATGAAAACAGCAAAGGCCGTCATCTCTATATAATCCGACGTTTTGCAACCCATAGAGTATGAAGAATGAAAAGGCCAATTAATTCACATACTTCAGTCCCATCATAACTTCCCATAGTCACGTCAAAATTAGGATCCCCATGTTTTTTGACCCAGATACTATTGTGTTCAGTAAACAGTAAAGATCTTCTTGAGTGATTTATAATATTTAATTTTTTTTCTGAGATTTCCGTAAACTGTTTGGCGTGAATAAATGAATTTTGAAGTAATTCTTTAGAGATAGAAGGATAGAACTCTTCGATATCGAACTGGACAAAAGTAGAGTTTTGTTTGTCTTTTAATAAATATATATATATATATATATATATATATATATATATATATATATATATATATATATATATATATATATATATATATATATATATATATATATATATATATATATATATATATATATACAGGGGCGGACTTAAACCCCGCCTATAATTAATTGCCGATCTATACATTTTTGTTAGAAAATATAATTAGAAAAAGTTTACAGTGAAAACTATGCTTTGCAGACGTTTGAAAAAGTGTTTTATAAAAATTGCTAATGTAAACATTACTTTGCAGGATAGTAAAAAATTGTTTTTAAAACTTGCTAATGTAAACATTACTTTGCAGGATAGTAAAAAATTGTTTTTAAAACTTGCTAATGTAAACTATACTTTGCAGGGTATGAGAAAATTTTTTTATAAAACTTGTTAATGTAAACTCTACTTTGCAGGATATGAGAAAATTGGATAAGTTCATAGGTTTACGTTATTAAAAGTAGCAATCTGATTCGTTTAAAAAAAAACATGTTTATTGTAAACTATCTATTGCAGCATTTGTAGCAAATCGATCTTTGCAACCAATCAAAATACTTTTGATTGGTTGCAAAGATCGATAAACAACTCAAAAGAACTCAAGGAACTCAAAGAACTCCGTTCTATAGACAAAGTATTTCCTTAAAATTTTAACGTATAAACATCCCAGCCGGCATCATTACGTTGTTTCAACGTTGAAATTCGGTTGAAGCGTTTATTTGCAAGACAAGCGTTTATTTGCAAGACAACCAAGAGGTATTGATGAGTTTAAACGCTGGAAAGCTACAGAGTTTAAAAATTTTCTTTTATATACTGGTATGGTTGTTTTAAAAAATGTAGTTTCACAAAAATATATACGCATTTCTTAGGCTTATCAGTTGCTACAAGTATAATGATTGATAATGATCTTTTGAATGATCATAAGTTGTTAGTGTGTGCAAAAGAGCTCTTGGAATGGTTTGTAAATTGGTCATCATTTCTTTATGGTCAAGAACTTGTTACTTATAATGTTCATAGTTTGACACATCTATATAAAGATGCCGTCAACCACAGCTGCAGTTTGCAAGTTATATCTGCTTTTCATTTTGAAAACTATTTAGGCATTCTAAAATTGTATGTGCGCCAGGCACAAAGTCCTTTGTCCAAGCTGACAAAAAGAATAAAGGAGATGGAGAAACTTTGTCTAACAAGAAGCAAACAATCAAAAACTAAAATTTCAATTGGAAACAAAAATAGATGATTTTTCATTCATGGAGAAAAAGTTGTTCGTGTAAATAATGTCATTGGTAATAATATAGAATGCTATGTCTTTAAAATATCTAATTTGGATGGGTTTTTTGATGATCCGTGTTGTTCTAAGTTGTTGCATATATATTTCCTTCATAAAAATGTACAATTCAAGGAAAAATTTATAAAAAAGGATCTAATTATTAAGAAAGAATATGGTATTCCATATAATAATGGGTTTGTGTTGGTGCCATTACACTACAATGTTAATTTTTGAATTATTTATCTTTAAACAAAAGAGTTGTTTTTTATTTTAGATAAACATTCCCATGAATAATTACAAACAATATTTTTGCTATTAAAATTGAAAAACAAATTTAGATATTATAATAATTTTATTCATTTTTTATCATTGTTTTTAAGTAAGATTGTAGTACTTTGTTTTTTAAAATATTTTTAATTTGAGTTTTTCAATGTATAAATTATTTTTTTAATGAAAAACAAAAATGAACTAACAATAATTATATATAATTATTGTTAGTTCATTTTTTGTATAATACATATATGTACAAAAAAATTGAAAATAATGTAACTGCATTATTTAATAATAGTAAAAATGTTATCACTATTTGTTCTATTGCATTAATTTAATAATTGAGGATGTCTGCTTTGCTTATTTTTAGCTAGTATAAACAGAGCATTTATATAAATGAGCCATTATTCAGAGAAAAAGTTTAACTATTTATACTTTAGTATTATCAATGATATTTTAATATTATCAAATGACGTCCTTACATTCAACTGGTATAAAAAGAATATTTTTATTTATACAGTCATATAAGAAATATATATATATATATATATATATATATATATATATATATATATATATATATATATATATATATATATACATTTTTACACATTTGTTTTGATATTTTCACTATTATATTAAACTATTGATAGAATAATTTTTTCTATTGAATTAGATATACAGATTTAGCATAATTTTCAATTTTAAAAACAAAATGTCTCGGACCAGAGCAGTTTGGTTTGAGTATGCAAAAGATAGCTTATTAGAGGAATATGAACAAATTCTTCCATCAAACTGGGTAAAGTGTGACAGAGTAATTTGGCCCAATAAAAATGTTGAGTCATCACTGAAAAAAATATCAAATCCAACTGATGATTGGTATCAATTTAAACTGAAATACATCAAGCTAACTGGTAATTAAGGATTTAATAATATTAAATGATGTAGAAAAATGGTTTTAACATTTCTTTATTTAGTTACATTCAATAAAAAGTAAATTTAAATTTACTAATATTTTATATAATAAAAAAATATTTACAAAAAATTATTATTTTTTAAGGGTTCTTTCAATTCTACTAAATTATTTGCACTGTTTTCCATTGTCACTCCAATTAGTAACTCCATCAAATGTTTTAGTCACTAATTTAGTAAGTTACTAATTGGAGTTACTAATTGGATGACTAAATGAATCTCTTAAAGCATTTCATCAATGTCTCTTTCTAAAATAAATTGTTTAAATATATCATTATATTATTTCTAGGTCTTTTTATATATTTGACAAGTGCTCATTAAATTTACTAAATAAATAACAGTCATCGTTAGCTTTTTTTCTTATAATAAGACTTTTATTGTAAACATGAACTGATTCCATCCTAGATGATGACAAAGAAGTATGTGAAGAGTATGGAGATAATGTAACAGCCGGAGAACTGGATAACAATGAAATGATGATTAAGAGTTGTCCCAGCTCATCTGAAAAAAGACATGCAATTAAGCCTATTCCATTGCCTATTCCACGGAAAATGCCAATAAGTAAAAATGATATATAATACTCAAAAATTATTATATATATAAAACTATTCTTGTTTTCTTGTGTAATAATAATATTCTTGCTGTTAATTAGTTTTCAATAGCAATTAGTAATTTTCTTTTCATAGGAACTGTTACACCGGATACATATGTTCCAAAAAAAGCAATGAGCAACAATTCAAGTCAAAAAATATCATCTGGCACCTTTTGCCTTAGTGACATGGTTTTATTTTTTTTTTAAATCATTTAAATTTATTTTTAGATCTTCAAAATCACATGTTAATGGTTTTTACTATAATAAATATTATGTCAAACTATTTTAATGTTAAATTGGTTTCAAAAGTTTATACTCAAACCACTTCTATACATGGTAATTATTCTGAACTTACTGCTTTATCAACAGCTCACATACCAAAGCCATTTCTTTCAACTACTACATATGATGATTTATACATATACTACATATGATGATTTACTACATATGATGATTCTACATATGATGATTTTTCTTTACGCAAACCAACATTAAACAGTCAGACCACTATTAGTATGTTAAAAAGCTCGTTCAAAAATGTTTCCACCAACTCACCTGCTGTTATTTCTCAATCCTATGTGAATTACAATAGAAGAGATTCTGCGTGTGCTCGGTATGAGTTAATTAGCTCATAAAATCCTAAAAATAATGGTAGGTTTTTTTACTATATCATTTGTGATTTTCAGCTTTCCTTCAACTTGCTGTTGTTTTGTAAGCAACATATTATTTCAAGTATATCATTTCATTTCTCTCATATTACATTAAAAGAATTATTTAAAATAGTTTTTTTTTACAGTTGCTCGATATACTATGTTTTTAACGAGGCTAGTTTAAGAAACACTTACTTTTAATAATGCGATTTAAATAATTGTTCTCTCTCTCTCTTTCTCTCTCTCTCTCTCTCTCTCTCTCTCTCTCTCTCTCTCTATATATATATATATATATATATATATATATATATATATATATATATATATATATATATATATATATATATGTGTGTGTGTGTGTGTGTGTGTGTGTGTGTGTGTGTGTGTGTGTGTGTGTGTGTGTGTGTGTGTGTATAAATATATATACATTAGATATATTTAAAAAGTACTTCCTGTTATCAAACTCGGGATTTCAACATATAGTATAACGGAGGTCCAAATAACTTTGCAAAATGAATGAAATATCTAAAAAGTTTGATGCAATTAGTGCCACCAGAATAAACGATGTTGAAGGAGAGATATTAATACAGTTTGATAATGTAGACGCTTTATATGAGTTTGATCGAAAACTTGGATTTGACAAAAGAGTTTTTAAAAAGTTTGTAAGTTATTTGTTTATTTAAATATGTTTAGTTAGATTAAAATCTTGTGTGATTGGGACGGTAGTTAATAATGACAAATAAATGCCATTATGAATGAGTTAAGGTAGGATGTTATCTAAAAATTCTATTGAAGATTCTGATCTTCTATTATGCAAGATTGCCACATTGTTCATATAGATATTATTTTATTTTTATATCAGGTCAATCAACTATCTTCCCCAGTAAGAAAAAGACGTCAAGCCGTAGTTGTAATTTGGTTGTATTTTGGTCGCGACGCAAGTTAACTAAATTCCAACGATGTTCCAACGTCGGCATAACGGTGTAGTTCTAACGTTTGCTATCAAACGTTGGAACAACGTCGGAAAAACTTTATCATCTAAAGTCTTGAATGTTAACATTAAAACGACGTTGGAACAACGTTGTTTGTTTAACGTAAAACCAACGTTAGTCTGATTAACGTTGGAACGACTTTGGAACAACGTTTTCTTTTTTTACGTTTTTACTTTTGACATCAAAGCAAATTCAGCATTCTAACGTAAACACAACTAAACAAAATGGTTGAAAAACCGTTATCGAAAAAGATGTTATTTTTAATCTGGTTGTTAGGCATTATATTCTGTAATACTAATAATTAATACATTATTTCTTTATATTCTACATTCGAATTAGATATTAAATTTTTATCATATTAATGATAAATAAAAGTTACTAAAACTTTATTTGATTTTCAAAAACTGTTGATATTTTTGTTATGTTTTTGTATACTTTGTTTATATGTCATTACTTATATAGTAAAAATTTCTAACATATATAATATTTGTACATAATATTTTATTTAAATATATATATATATATATATATATATATATATATATATATATATATATATATATATATATATATATATATATATATATATATATATATAAATAATATTAATGAATATTAAACTATTTAACAGTTTAATTAAATGCCAATAAAAATACAGAGCCTTTTTTTTTAGACATTCAATTCAGTTGTCTAAGACAGTTGTAAGTTGAATCAAAGCAAGGTTTTTACTTAATATACATAATATATTAAGTATAAATTTAAGACAATTAAGTTACATTAAAACAATGTCTTAATCATAATATGTATTTTATTTATTTAAATGCAAAGTTTTTTAGTTTGTTGTGGAACTAGAATAGAAATTACCTAATAAGCTTCTTATAACTTGTGTAACGTGTTTCTTTTACGAATTTGTATATTGGTATAATCATATCATGCTATTCCTACAATATTATAACTAACACTGACTCTCATAAACTTGAGTCTTAAGTCACGAAAAAGGGTAAACAATTTTTTATGTATTTGTATTAAGTTATTTTTATTTTATTTTTTTTTTATTGTTATTCACCTCTGGGTTACTACCAGGAACATGGTAAAGAAAAAACTCATAACTTCTCACTATGAAGCAAGCAAAAAATATATCCTACAGAAACAGCAACAGAACATCTAAATTTTACACTAGATCTTAGTCATAATAAACAAAATATTTATTTAAATCAATACACACAAAGTGTTAGATGATATACAGTGAGTCAGTATTTAATTTTCAAAATGAATCACAGTCTCATGTTTCCCTAATTTCAGAGTTGAAAGAAAGAGCTGATTTTGGCCATAAAAGCCATAAAGGGTGCTGCAGTTGAGGAGGCTCCTTTTTATTTCAATTGTGGTTATAACCCCCTCTCAACTCAATAACTCCGAAGTATTTCAATAAAGTACATGTCAAATATATTTGTGTGTAGTTTTTGTATATGATATGTGATAGGATATAGTTTTTGAAATTGATATGTTAAACCAAAATACATATATATATATATATATATATATATATATATATATATATATATATATATATATATATATATATATATATATATATATATATATATATATATATATATACATATATATATATTTATATATATATATATATATATACATATATATATATATATATATATATATATATATATATATATATATATATATATATATATATATATATATATATATATCGTCATAGTACTATCATTTACTTATAAGTAAATGATGGAATAAATTCTCTTATCTTTCTAACTGAAAAAGAAATTAATCTTATATTTTAATAAAACTCATGCCAAGTTAAAATATATATTTTTTGAATGTTATTATTTTTCTTCAGTTTTTATGTTCAGAGTTAAAGTATTAAGTTATCAAGGTGTTTATAATCAGAACAAGTTGACTTAAATATACATAATCACATTATTTAATCTTAAACTTAAACTTAACTATAGAATATTTGAACGAGTTTACACTAAGAATTGGTAACAAAGGTTTTGCTCAACAGTTTGTGAGTTTGATTTCAATATGTTTAAGATGATTTAGAGAACAAAACCTGGACAATATATTTTAACGCCCAGCTTTTGAAATAGCAAAAAATTTACTATCACTTTATTAAAATGAATCTAAATCATTTGCTGTTACAAATTATGTCATCCTATTTATTCAGCCTATAAATATTTTTAAACATTTTAGATTGGTTGCAGCCTAACAAAATTGTGAAAAAACAATATTGAATATTTCTAATGTTTTAAAATTTTACTTACGTTACAAAGTTTAGTGAATAAAAATGTTTTATTTATGAGTTTGCCATGATTGCTCTGATTGAATCATGGCAAAATACTTATTCAGTTCTAACTGTTTATTAAATAAGCTAGGGTCTCTAAGGTTTGTCCTTGGTGAATGCAGTAAAAAATATTTAAATAAGATCTTTTGTGTAACACACTTCAATGTGTCTTTTTTATATATTTTTTTTTTTAGGCCAACTCTCACGTGTTGGCAGAAAGTTACCAAAATATGTTAAGGACTTAATTCAGAGGTAACTTTTGTATTTCTTCATTTATATTTTTATTTGTTTTATGTATATTCAGAACATTGCAGGCATTATGAATAAATGCAAAGATTTTGTTAATTATTATTTTAATATTACTTTAAATGAGTATACATATTGCATGTGAATATTTATATAACACATTTGCAAACTAATACAAATGGCTATCAAAATGATATCAATAGAACATTTTGAAGTATTTTTATTTTAAAAGTTCATTTCCTCAAAAATAAAAAATGCTAATTTGAATTATGAAAATTGTCAAAATTTTTATAAAATTTTCGTATTTATAATACTATAAAGTATCCATGTGGAAAGTATTAAAAATATTATTAACAATATATGAATAAATTGTTATAAGTAACTATATATATATATATATATATATATATATATATATATATATATATATATATATATATATATATATATATATATATATATATATATATATATATATATATATATATATATATATATATATATATATATACAGGCCTTGTGATGAATAAAAACTGCGCGACGCATACATTAACTGCACCAATTTACTTAATTACTGCAAAACTACTATAAATCATAAATGTAGAAATGTTGTTATTTGAAAATTTTTTGGAATGTTTCGTTTTTTAAAATGTAAAAACATTTATGTTCTAGACATTTGACACGTTTTGTCTAGACTAAACGGATAAAAAACATTATAACAAAGCATTTAAAAAAGATAATAAAATATACTAATATTTGATTTTGTTTTTTTCCTAAATATGTAATTTAAAGTTTTTCAAATATTTCTTTTTTTTTTTAAAAAGTCAGCGAGTGTGATTGTGATTATTTAGCGAAAGCGATTGTGATTATTTAGTTAATTTTTTTCGAATTAATTTTTACAATAATTTTAATAGCTGTACTTTTTTATTAAATCAAGTAGAATACGTTTTAATATTTTTTTTATTTTTTATTTGCGCTTACCAATTTTTAAAATGTTTACTTGAAATTACTTTTAAATACTTTAAATACGTCTAACAGTTAATAAATATTTTTAAATCTATGGAATAATTTTAAAACCTAACAAACCCCCGTTAAATATATATATATATATATATATATATATATATATATATATATATATATATATATATATATATATATATATATATATATATATATATATATATATATATATATATATATATATATATATATATATATATATATATATATATGTATATATATATATATATATATACATATATATATATATATATATATATATATATATATATATATATATATATATATATATATATATATATATATATATATATATATATATATATATATATATATATATATATATATATATATAAGTTTATATATTTGTGCATACAGATAAACAAATATAAATGTATGATGTTATCTTGGTTTTCACATCTAGCCATTGATATTAAAAGTATGCTTCATAATGATCACATGTGTATTAACCAATGATATTTTATATAAACTAGTTGTCTTACTTCAATCCAAAAAGTGAAACCGCTTTTGTCCTTTTTACAAATGACAGATTAAATTGGTAAACAAATACTATTTAACTATTTTTTTATATATGAAGTAAATATATTTTTATATATGCAATATATTTTAAATCTATATATGTAAAAGTGTTAAGAGGAAATTAGAAAATTTTTTTTTAGGAAATTATTACTTGTAAAGTAATAATTTATGATTTCTAAATTTATTTTTGATTAAAAAGGGATTAAAATTTAAAATAGAAATAAACCTTAAATAAACCTTGATAAGTACTTTATATTTATTATAACATGTTTTTGAATTATCTTTAATTTATTGGTTAATTTTGAATGGCATTTTGAACTTTTATTCCACACATTTGCTTCAGTTTTAACACTTTTTACAAATGGCAAATTATATTTTTAAGCAAAAAAAGTGACATCATTTTTTGTTCAATAAAGGACCGCAAGTTTGACATCTAGTTTATATAATATATCATCTAGTTTATTTTATATAGTTTGTTTTGGGATTGTCCGTCAATTATTGATATTTTGAAAAAACGGAGGTATGTGATTTGTCATATGTTCAAATTAATCATATTTCTGAAAAGTCTCATGACTTTTATCAAAATCAGATGGTTAAAAACCATCTGATTTTGTTAAAAACAGAAAGTCTAGATCACAGGTGGAGTTTAAAAAATAAAAGGCTATACAGTTAATTTCTTTTGTATACTGGTCTCTATGGACTGAAGATACAAATTAAATTAGCAGAATCAATGCATTGGTTATGCATTGATGCTATTAAATTGGTTTGGATTAGGGATGTACCGAAGCTAAAATTTTGCCGAAGCCGAAGCTTCGGCCGAAGCCACTTTGCCGAAGCCGAAGCTTCGGCCGAAGCCGAAGCTTCGGCACTATATATGCTTAAAATTTAATCAGCATTCAGATCAGCAGGGGTGTAAAACAAAAAAGGTTCCAAAGCTAAGATCCTTGACTAATAATATAGAAAAAATGTATAAAAATGAGGACACAAGTCAGGGTTGCTGCCCAAGGCAGGGCAAAAGCTCTTAGCGCCCCTGTTTGAAAGTTTCTCATTATGTCGTTTCTGATACTTTACCGCACCTAGTGTTTTTTTTTTAACTTAAACTTTTTTAAAATATTCTCCCCAAATTTTCCTACTTCTAATTCTACTTTTTCTGTGTGCAAACCATATTAATGTTATATAGTGCACAATATCAGTAACTCACATATATTTCCAACCATTCCCAATATTCTTCTAAGACTATTGCTATTTTTTTGATCTTTTATAGCCATACTGTTCTTCTATGTAAACATCGTTTCTCTTTAATCCTCTATCTAATCATCTAATTTTTAATCCTCTATTTAATCATCTTGTTTGATCTATCTAATTATAGTGTGCTAGCTGAACATCCTCAAATTTTATTCCCCATAAATTACTGTTACGCATCTTTTCATGTGATGTATATTTTATTTTTATTTTTAATGCACCTTTTGTTAAGAGTGGATAAAAATCTCTGAATATTACTCAAGTAAATTTATCTTTTACACTTGAACACTCTTTCTCTAAATAAACACTCTTAGCTGATCTAGTTGTATCTACAACATAAAAAATCTTGCAAACACACTTTATCTTTTTATTGCTATTTATTTCAAGATCTTTTTTTTACTTCTCTGTATTCATTAAACGAACAATTTCTAAACTAAAAAAAATCCTAAGTTAAGACCATTTTGTATTCCACTATAACTGTTGTGAACCTGCTGCTAAAAAAAAGTACAATTGATAGATTTCTCTCTAACTTCTTTTTTACACACTTTTAAGTTGTTATTTTTTTTTATTATTTTTAATTTATCACTACATAACATTTTCTTAAGCATCTTTTAATATTTTAGACACTCAGAAATTATAGTATTCATTCTTCTTCTGTCTCTGTAATGGATAAATCTGCATCAGTATCTGAAATCAAATATTAACTATCTGTGGCAAAAACTTCTATAGTAATCTAACAACTCAGTAGAGTGAGCTTTAAATAAAATAATAAATAGAATACTTTATAAATATTTTATTTATAATTATATTATTATTTACTTTATATTTATAAATAAAGAGGGACTGAGCAGGCTGATATTTATTTGATTTAAATTGTTTATTTAATTTAAATAAATTTTGATGATAAATATAAGAGCTCAAAGTAATCAAAGCTTTAATCTTTAATTTATTTTAAATAAAATTTAAAAGTCTTCATATCATATGAAGAAACCAGAATATAAGTTTATATGTTTAATATATAAATTCCATTTAGAAGTATTCATAATATTAATAAACGAGCAAGAATAATTATTATCATTGTTTTTCTTTTTCTTTTAATTTATATAGTTTTGGTTGACTTTTTTTTTTTTTTTATTCTCCTCATTTATATTTCATTTGCATTTCTTCTTTTTTTGTTGTTGAGAACTTTATGTTTTTTATGTGTCACTCCATTGACTAGTTTGTAACTATATAAGTGACACCTTACCAATTTCTGTAATCTTACGATGAAAATTTGTAAATTTTTATTATTATGGTTAAATAAAATTTAACATACACAGAATTTAAAATAGTAGCAACGTATCTTTAATATTCTTTAAAGTGAGATTACTAAGGTTTATAGGTCAAATGTTGAAACCAATTTTTTTTCTATTAGCGGTAATCCCACACAAAAATTAATATAAATTCGTTACATAATACAAATTAAGGTTTTTTTTCCATTTTATTTTTAAAAAGTTTTAATTTGTTTTAAATTATAAGGTTTTTATTCTGCATAAAAATGCTGATTCAGTTCATCTAAGTCACACTTGGAAGCCTTTAAAGTGTATGAAGACCTTCCTTAATTTTACTATTATATTCAAAATATTTCTACTTATTTATTATCATCCCCTCCATAACAAGACATTTGGGAGTAAATAATACTAAGTATATGGTATAGACTCCAACTTTAACTCTGTATTCCTGAATTTACAACTTAATTAGACAATGGCAATTAGCATATTTTTATAAACTGTACAAAAGTAGCTTATAACTTTAATTACTTTAAATTTTTTGCCGAAGCCAAAGATTCGGCAAAAATTTGACCTGGCTTCGGCCGAACCGAAGCTTCGGCAAAATTGCCGAAGCTTCGGCATGCCGAAGCCGAAGCCGAAGCTTCGGTACATCCCTAGTTTGGATGACTGGATTATTAAGGCTGTGGATCATTATGGTCCAACATTCATAACATACAATTTACATAAACTTATTCATTTTTTATAGTTTTCTGAATGATTGCTTCTTAATATGTCTGCCTTTTTATTTAAAAGATTATTGGCTTTTGGTAAAAAGATGCCACTTGCTTAAATGGTCAAGGGTTTAAGTGAAGTATAAGTAGTTCGGATTAGAAGAAAAAACACCTAACAAAATAATCATTAGTCTTAAAGAGAGCTATTTATAAAAACAATTTTTGATTCTTTGCCTAGTGAAAATGTACCATTTCAGTTTCTTTATTTACTATGCAATTTATGTTATAAAAATTAAATATATTTCCAAAATTACACTTGTAAAAAAATAACGTTCTAGAAATCTAAACTCAAAGATATTTTATATCTTTTGAGGTTAAAACTAGACATTTTTTTTTCCCAGTATTTCATGATTGTGTGTTTTAAATTAATTTTGTTTATTTATTCAATTAAAATTATTTTGGAGGCAATTTCATTAGTTTTGCATTTTATTGAGGTATTGTTTATTCTTTTTCAGATAATGTTGCTAAACGATTTACAGTCGATAATCTTTCGAAAGCAGAAAAACTCAGGTTAGCATCAAAAAGAAAGTTAGCGCAATTTCTGGTATTTGTGGTATTTCTATTTGTTTATTCCGAATGTTTTTTATTTAGTTCTTAAAAATGTTTTTAATTGGATTTGTTTGTAACTTTATGTTTCTTCATATATATTTGTCTTTTAGTGTCAAACAAAGAATACGCGAATTATTTGAGATATGATTGAAATTTGCAAAGAAAGTAAAAATCAAACTAGTTTCATTCTAAGTTATTGTATATAATTTTAAAATTTTGGAACAGAAGTGATGCAATGTTTATTTATTTTTAATTTCCGTATTCAATTATTTGCCCAGACTAATATAATAATCGTGTATAACCTAAATAAATAAGAAGAAATATAGCTTGACAGCGCAAAGTTATACAGTGTAAAATTGTCCTTTGTTGTTTTTTGCAGTGTAGGAATAACATGAAAAATGATAGAAAAACGTTGGAGGGCGCTTTTCTTACAACGTTTCGCAACATTGTAAATATATCGTTGACCTATATTTCATATATGCCATTATTCCAACGTGAAACAAAACGATAGAAAAGACGTTGGCTCAACGTTATTTTAACTAAAATATAACCTTAGCCTAACGTCCTTATAACGTTTTTTTTCTTCAAATTTAACGTTGCTCTAACGTCTTTCCAACGTCATTTAGCTAAAATGTAACGTTGTCACCACGTCATTTTACATCGTTGTAATAACGTTAGTAAAATGACGTTTTTTCGGTGTTTCATTTATAACATCATGCCAACGTCTTTCCAACGATATGAAAGACGTTAAAACAACGTTGTTCTGACGTCATTTTTTTTACTGGGTCCATTGGCGGTAACAATTGTAAAAAAAGTGTTGCAAACATGATAAACAGGTTGATACATTTCTTTAATCAATAGTATTTATTATTTATGCAAAGAAAATCAGTTAAAGCGATTTTTAATTATAAAAAAAAAATGTTGAGTTTTTCTTTTGATATGTTTAAGGCTGATGACAAACAGACAACAATCGAAGTTCAATTTGGTTGGTTCAAAAGGAAAGGCTACTGTGAAAATACCAACGGAAGGGTTAAATATTTACAAAGCAATAATTGGTAACTATAATTTCAATTAAAAGTTTTAAAAAGTTGTTGATCTATATATTTTAATATATTTATATTTCTTTTTAATGGCTGCCTATTGAAAATAAATGAATTTAGTTGAATTCACAAAAAACAGATAAAAAAAAAACTTCCTAAAAATAAAATAAGTAAGTTTACATTAAAATTGTAAACTTAATGTACTCCTATCAAATAATGTAAATTGAAAAGATTCTTTCGTCTTTTTGAATAATGCTAATACTTGGATTACTGACAGCTGATCTTGCTGACAGGTTTAATATATTTTTAGGATTAGCAAATGCAATATTTGCTTCATGGTTGAAAGCTTCTAGCTCACTTTGAAAGCACATTTTTTTCCAAGTAAAGATGTTATAAGACAGACAATGCAAAACAGATTTTAGAAATTAAATTATTCAGACTTACACTAAATTTTAGATATAACAGAGTTTATTATGGAAATACCTAAAAAATTTTGACTTACAGAAACTAACACGGAATGAATACAAACATTACAACAATATAAAAACATTAGTACCCGTAGCTCCAAACTCATCAATAAATTCTTTAAAAAATTTCTAAAGTTTACTAAAGCTAAAATTCGGATAAAGAAATTACAAATCTCAACAACTATTTAGATTGTATTACAAAATACTTCTGTATAATGTATGATTAAGGCTTTAATATTATTTTTTTAATACAAATAAAGTGGTTTTAATTAAATCCATTTTTATCAGTCAATTAAAAAATATGATGAGTGTTTGTATAAAGATAATTAAAATTTCCAACAATAATATTAGCTTTACATGTTTTTTTTTAGGTGAATCATTTGCAATTGATGGAATATCTTTAAAAAGACAGAATTCACAAAATAATGCTGAGGGAATCTTAATAATTTTTAATCATTCAGGAGTTTTAAGTAATAAATTATTTAGCTAAAAAATTGTTTGATAATGAGTTCTATTTAAATTTAAAAAAAAAAAATTAATATTAGTTCTCGCATAATTAATATCAGTTTTCTAATCTATTAAAATTCCAACAACTTTGTGACCTCCATGAATATGAAAGGTGGAAATATGCTTTAAGAGCACTAATTTATATGGTGTAGTGAAAGGTATACCTTTCACTACACCATATATGTAAAACTTTTTTATTCTTATTTTTTTTATATTCAAAAATTTCTCCTTCTGTTTTTTTTTTTTATTATTATTAACAGCTTCTTCTATTAAATACGATGGAGCGACTGAAATTTTAATTGATGGCATTTTGTTTAACTTTTTATGAACTCCATTTCGAAAAGGTGGCAGAAAAGAAAAAGTTTAGGTTGATTGATACAAATTTATATTTATAAAAATCAATCTAAAACTTTTTTATTGAAATATTTACATATATTTCCATAATGAAATATTTTCTTTTTGTCTTCTAATATTTTTTTATCAGTATTAATTCAACATTACAAATTAAAACTCAATTATGAAAAAAGCTTAGAATTGAGTTGACGCTTTAAGTAAAATAAGAAACGCCCAAAATGTAACTGATGTAATATTTTTATCTTTTAATAAAAAAAAAGTTCTAATAATGTTTAAAATTGGTATTAATATTAATGTTTATTAGATGAAGATGAGTAAAAAACAAGTTAATATTTATTAGATGAAGATGAGTAAAAAATAAGTACAATTTATTTCATGATCTCTAAAGTTGTTTGAATGATAATTTAAAAATACTCTATTATCCTCTAAAAAGGTAAAAATTTGATCAAGGTTCCTCATTAACTCCTCTTTTTTTAATTTTTGATGGAAGTATAATGTTCAAAATACCCATTCTCGATCTGCAAAACTGGTTAACGCCTTAAAGTGCATAGAATTGTAAAAAATTGCTTTAGCAATTGCATGCTGTTTAACATAAAAAATGACAATATTTGATCCCTGTCCAAGCCCCATAAATGTATAAACATGGACGTTAAACCGTTAATAAATGGCCACATAAAATTTCTTTAATCAGTTATATGTAAATATATGTAATATTGAAACATATTTTTCAGTAAAACAAGTTTTATCTTTTTCTTTAATCATACCTAGCTATTTTAACTAAACTAAACTGAAAAAGTTCTAAATAGTCTAAGTACCTTGATAATGTACAGCAACATTAATGTACATGCATAGTACGTTTTGATGGTGATCACATTTTGACGCACATAGCACGTTTACATACATATATGCATTTTGACATATATAGAACGTTTTGATGGTGAAAAAGTGTTTTACAGTCGTTTTAACTTTGATAAATCAACGTTAAAAAAACAATAGTTTTACACGTTGTATCAACGTAAATTCAACGTTATTGAAACGTTTTTTTGCGTCGACTCAACCTTGATATAACGTTTGAACCTAACGTTGATTTAACGTTGATAAATCAACGTTGAAAAAAACTTTCATTCTAAACGTTAAATCAACGTAAATTCAACATTAGGTTTCAACGATATATCAACGTTATTTCAACGTTATTTGCCAGCTGGGATGGCTTACAACTTGATTGATGATGTACTGAAAAGATTTAAAACCGATAATCTTGTCGATTTAAATTTTTTATAAAACTTTATTGGATACATTTATTTACAACAATAACAAAATGGTTAGTAACGAAGGTCTTTTAAGTCGTTCTATTGATGGTACAATAAGTAGAAATATATATGTGCCAAAGTTTGTTACCTTTTTACTCAAAAGACAATAAAATTGTATTGCTCTAAGGTAAGTCACTTTTTTTTTCATAAATAATGATTTTATTGTATTTTATTACAATTAGTTAAAATGTTTTAACACAAAATTTAATACTTGTTTGTAAAAATATTTATTGTTAATAACCTATTAATCTAACCTATAAAACTCATTGACTAATCAACATTTAATAAGTGTCAACACCGTTAAATGATTTTGACATGTATGTCTATAATATGTTCATGATGTATGTATTAAATTCCTACATGCCAAAATCATTTGTTGGCTTGTCTGAATTCTTGACTATTGATTTGATTTATGAATTTGTTCAAAAAGCAAAGATTTTTTACTCAATTTTAAATTTATTGATAAAAGAAGTTTAGCTCTTAAAAACTCAAAGTAAATATATATATTTTTTCTTAAGGTCTGAAGCATCTGGAAATTGTATGTACAGCTCTGCATCATTATTTTTTGTTGCTGGCAATACACTGATGGATGTGTTAAGAGTTTTAACGTCCCTTGAAATTTATATACATGCTGATTATTACTGTAAGCATCTAATTTTCAAAAATATTTTCTGAATATAGTTCTTATTTTAATAATCTCAAAAGTTTGTTGTGTATCTCAGTATCTCATTCTGCATTAGATTCTGACTTCGAAAATAATAATATTATTAAAGCTGAAGCAATTGGAAACTGTTAGAGCACAGAAAAATGGGCTGGTATTTTATGTTTGTTAGGTTTATCATCGGTTATTTCTTGTAATATTGTTTCTTGTTACCCAGATTTTGGTGTTGAAAAGTATAAAATATTTTTTAACCAAGAGATCTCATCACGTACTCCCATTAAATTTTGTTCGTTATTTTACATTTTGCTTTGTTATGATGGGAATTTTCAGTCGGTTACATTTTAGCATAATCACTATGTCCCACTAATTTTTATTCGTAAAAAGCGTAAACTTTCCAATAAATCAAAAACAATAATTTCGAAAAAATTGCTGCCAGTCTTGTCACCTAATAAATTTCTAGATACAAAACAGACTACCGTTTTTTTTTTTTTTTGTTTTTTTTTTTGTTTTTTTTTCAATATTTTAGTTTACATTTGTTAGTTCGTTTTTACAATACAATGAGAGTAAATAAAAAATTAATATAAATTACAAAGTAAGCAAATACTACTAACATTTGAAAAAACTAGGTATCTGAAAGAAGATAAGTAAGATTTTATCGTCAGAATCTTAGGGTTAGGGTTAGGGTTAGGGTAGATTCTGATACCCTACCCCTAACCCATTCTGATACCCTACACCTAACCCATTCTGATACCCTAACCCTAACCCATTGATAAAGCTGCTACGATTGTACCTAGCATAGAAACTAAAAATCCAAATAAAAAACCTTACTCTATCCTTACATTCTTTCATAAAACAAACCCAGACTTAGAACCTACTAGTGCAGTCTTACAAAATACATCTTTTATTT